GGAAGAAGTCTCCCTTCCTATTCTACAGAAGATAAGGACTGATTCATCTAGTAATGATGAGAAAGCTTCTCTTTTCTTGGAGACTATTAATGATGATCCTATTATGATACCTGCACTGAGACAAGACAAGGAGCAACATGATAAAGGTAATATTTGTGATTATTGTGACAGTATAATTATTTATGAACATAATAATGTCATGTCTGTGTATATCTTGTACAGTGTACATTTAATTTTATGCATTATATAAAATTCATGTCCCTAAACAAATGTGCACAATACATGTGTGTATATGTATCTACATATGTATTGTGTGTGTACCATATAGGGGGGTATATTTTCACGGTAATATTATTTGTAATTAATTTATGACAGTCAGTATAATTATTCATGAACATGTAATGTCATGTGTACATGCATTCTTAGGGATTGTGTATGAAATTAATTCACTAATTTTACATCAAATTTTATACTCTGTACATACTTAATACATTATAACAAACACACACATTCACATAATACAGTCAGTCAGTAGTGTGACGGCTACTAGCTGTGTCTGTATTTGTTTATGGAAGTTGTGTGTGTTTGTATATACACATGATGTGAATATGTGTATTATAATGTACATATATGTATATAAGTATAATCCTTTGGTTTATATTAGGAGTCACTGGGAGTGTGGACTGGTACAGTGACAGGGTAACCCTTACCTCTCCATCTCCAGTTCAGTGTAATAAAGTGACTAGTATTATTAATAATAATCATAAGGTGATTCACCTCAACTACTCATCTACTAATAGTACAGTATCTCTACTATCATCAACTAAACTGCATACGCTAAACCTGAGTAGTCTTGAGATATGGTTCACTCCGTTAACTAATGATTGTATCCAGTACTTGTGTATACTACTAAGTAATAATAAAACAATACAAGAACTAGAAATCAAAGGCCACTCCATTAGTGATAGAGGAGTTACTAATATCTGTCAAGCACTTGAACACAACTCTACACTTACTTTATTAAATCTCTATTATAATCCTCTCATCACTTCTACTAGTGGACAGGCTTTGTCTCATCTCCTCATCAATAACTCATCACTAGTTGAACTGCATCTGTGGAAGAATTCATTGTCTACTGAGTCAATACTACTCATCCTCCAGTCACTAATGGATAATAAAAATATAAGGAGACTCAACCTAGATGAGAAACATGGAAAGACTTGTATTAGATCTATTACTTATCCTAACTATCGCCTCATACAAGACAGAGTTCGCTGGTTGTAACTAATCACTCTTGATGTGAACTTATTAATAATCTCTTGATACAACAATTATTATACCAAGCCAGTTCATCTTCACCAATAAGCAACCAATCAGAATATACTACTTTACATGATAAAAGGTGGACCAGTGACACAATATCATAAATCTAACACATTAACATCTCTTGATCTCTCATCAATTTCTCTCTCTCTCCTTCTCTAGTACTGGTATATACTGTACATTCCTTCTCTTACTGACACACACTCGTGTCACTGTCTCTCTCTTTGTTGTCACCATTTCTTTCTATTTCCCTCTCCTTTATTTCTATCTCTCCCTCAGTCTTTAAAAACTTTTCTCTAGCTGACCTTCCTTCATTTCAGCAAGTCAGTCTTGTTTCCATTCTCAATATATTTCTCTCAAAAAGGAGCAGATAAAAAGAAAGAAAAAGACAAAGGAAAAATATAGCATAATAATAATAATAATAATAATAATATAATTTTTAATAAAAATGTTTATAAAAGAGATGATAAAAATATTTAAATATGTCTGCACAGTTCAACCAGTACACCAGAATCCTGAGAATGACCAGCTGGAGAAAGAGAACAAATGACAAATTATACACACACACATATCATAAGAATGTACAATATTATCAATTTATACATGTACATGTAATATACTGCTTTATTACATTAATTTTATGATGTTCCAGCATGCCTTTTTGTAATTGACCAATCAGATTGTGATGTTGGAGGTAAGTAAATGTACATGGGTAGGAGACACTTTTATGATATTCTTACACATACATTCAATTTTCATCAAAATTGGTTAAGTGACAATTCTACATTTTCATAATTTTTTTTTTTTGATACACATACATGTCCTGATGTTACAATACATAGACAGATTGAGCTGATTCTGATAAAAATTGAACTTATTGAATTTTTACAGTTGTTCAAAAATGAAGCCAACATGCTAAGGGCTAGTACAGATAAAATTAATTTAATAAAGACACTAAATGTACCTATACTTCCATTACGTACATGTATAAGTAATGAAGGAACTGAACTACTTGTACATGTACATTCATTCTGTATAATATCACACACTAATTACAAGTTACCTACATAAGAAGAATTAACATATTATAACACATCAATTGCAATGGACTAGACATCCTCCATACACTCACGGATGGACATGAATAGGCAGAACTTGACCAGTTACATTTAGGACTTCACCAATCAGTGACAAGCTAATTTAAAATTTGCTTCTCAAAAGATATTTATAAATAATTGAAAGAGAAAATATTAATAAATTATCAGCTACAAATGAAAATAATAATAATAATAATAATAATAATAATAATAATAATAATTACAGTTCTTGATGAGAGGGAGTGTGAGTTGATGAGGGAGAG